TCCTAAATTATGAAAACAAACGCATTTGCAAATAATTCAGAAAGATTAATGGCGTATGATTGATGCCGACATCTGCACCATATTGATAACAATTAGTACTCAAGATACTGTATTTTGTATTATTAAATTATATACAATATATTCTTTTATTAACCAGAAAAATGAATTAACTTTGTAAATTGAAGTAAATAACAATAAATCAACGTTTGTATGTGTTTAAAATGTTTGTTTTTTTGCTTTCCCCTAGCAACCGATATAAAATAACATTTGCGCACTAGGTGTAGGCGACGATTCCTGCAGTGCGTGTATGTTGGGATCAGTAGTTGGATCGAAATGCACCCTCACAGGGAAATCATTTTCGAGAATGAAATAGATCAAATGAAAAAAAAAGAGTAAACATGACCTTGTTCAGCTGTTGCCGAATATAATAATATGTGTTAGATTATTACTATGTTGCCTTGCACCCTTTAGAGATTATGTATTTCGATTGCCATCAATGGATTTCTATCCAAAGTAGACTGGTTAGTATAATTCCTGGCATTTAAACACACATACTTTTTAAGGCAGTTCATTCAGAGCCTTTGACAAACAAATGAACATCGCGACTTCGTGCATCTTCTTTTGGCAAATAAAGGACTTCATGCTATCAATGCCAGTGATTTACTTTATAGTAAGAAGATAAATACGTTCAAAAATATCTTCTTATTTTAATAAGCAGTCTGATCCCATTCTGTAATGCAAATAACGTAAGAATCTCCTCTAAAGTGTTCAATTATAAACAAACACAGCACTGCTTGTGACTGGTATTCCTATTCATTTAATTATGCCTCTTTTAGCCATGTTATTACTTTGAATGCGAATATTATTTCACGTAAATTTCATCAAAAAATAATATCACCTGGACTGAAGTTCAGAAAAACTCAATATATGAAATGGAGTCACATGAGCGGAGAGAAACGACCAATTTGCGTAATCACTATTAGTTGTTACAATGGGTGTAAAGTAGTAATAATACTATTACATGTAGTATGATTGTTTCTCCGATAAGAACTGCGCACGATGTTCAACACTGTTTCTGTTTATATAAATCTAGCGTTTGAGTACAACGGTTTTGGCGCTCATATTACCTGCAGCTAGCATAGTAGTTCCTTGTAGAATCAGTGCAAACCAAAACGCAACCGTAGAAATACAGGCGAATCAGAAAGAACCCAATCATAAAATTTACATGAACAATTTACATGAACCGTTTATTACCAAGTTTAGTGTAGCATATTTTATTCGACTCAAAATCACGTACTAAACATAAATTAAAGTGGGGTGTCGCCACCTGCGCATGCGTCAGATGGCCACATTGTGTACAAACAAGCGTCTACCCATGAGCATTTGCATGTTTAGCGTGTGTTGTTATCGTCGCTAGGGACTCAATTCCCGCGCGTGCGCAGGTGACGACCCTCCCGCTTTAACAGAACATACCACAAGCACATGTATACACTAGTTCAAACAGTGGTACAGTTGTACAGCGTATCGCCGATAAATTAACGTTCTCTAGGTACATCGGGAACGAATTAATTAATTAATGTATTGCTTTAATGTGTTATAGAATTTAGGGATCGTTCAACCAATTGTATGGTCCAAATCTAAATTATTCTGTGAAAGGGTCCATCCATACTATTTGGACATACTGATAAAAGGCGGAAGTCGTCGCGCCACACATGCGCGAGATATTTGTGTATCTTATATAAACAAAGATGGCGACCTTGGCTGTTGCGCAGATCAATGAGTGAAAACTGAGACGTTATCAAGCTGTAATTAGGTATTTTTTAGGTGATTGGAAGGTATTGAAATAGTCACAAGCGGTAATTAGAGCTATGGATTATGAAAAAAATCAATGTTTATCAAAAGAAATGTCACACATTTAATAATTTAATTTAATAATTTAATAATTAAAATTGTAGTGAAATGTTGAATTGAATATCGACTTATAATAATTTTGGCATGGTTAGGCCAGACTGTTATTATCCCTTGTTAATAAAAAATGAACAGGAGCCGAAAATGAAATAAAAATAAAATTTTATTTCAGCGTAATTTCTCGCGCCCGCCGACTTGTAAGCGCAAAAAAATGCTAAAAAAATATTATTTTCATCTTCATTTTTTTACCGCCCGTCGCATAACAAATCCAAGTTGCATTTTTGTGGGAGTATCATGATCAAAGTATCGAAGTATCGTGCAGATGAGAAACAAGGTTATACATGGAATAACATTTTATTTCATTTCTTCTCTCCGATCAATGATCTCACTTACAATTCTTTGAGAATCACACAAATCTTATCCGCCCTCCTCAAATAAATTGCCTTATAAAAACTCGAGAAACAAGGAATAAAAAAAGGCTGGCCTTATGCAAAACTTCATTTTTAAATATGCATATGCTCATATTTCTGGATTGATGTTTGTATGTTGAACAATTCAACATCTTGATGACAGCCCACATCACCATAAATAAAACAATTCCAGGATAGCTCATAGAATGGTGGATATCACTTTTCAATGTGTCTGTATAACATCATTATCAATGTATTTAAATTGCGCTGATCTGCAAATGAAAATGCTATGGGATGTGAATCACGTAATTTTACTGACCTGGAAGGAAATTAATGGGAACTCATTATCATTAAAGATCGAAATAGATTTGCACTATGATAAATGCTGGTAGAAATGTACAGCTGTTGTTATTTATATCTTACAATCATGTGATGTATACGTGGACCTTTTCCACGAAAAATATGGAAAATATTGGTAAATGTAAATTGAAACTAGTGTTTCAAAACAAACAAAACCGCCCTGTCCTTCCCACATAGTTAGTGCCCATCCCACTCTTGCATTTGTTTTCCTAATACTGTAAAATGACTAATTTTCACTGGGTTTAAATTTCACTGATTTACCATTTCAGGCATATTCAGTGGGTTTTAAATTCACGGTTTCGTCATTTAGATAATGTGTCCTATGCTAAATTTTACATATTCACTGTGTTTTAATTTAACGCATTTTTTCCAGTCAGCGAAATAAGCAAAATTAAAACCCAGTGAATAATTACCCCCTTTACAGTAGTTCGTAATTAACAGCTACATGTCATTTAAAAAGAAAGTTGACGGCAGCCATATTACAACTCGAATTATTCAAAACAAACAAACAAACAAAATATGTAACTGTGTACCAAACTGCATACTCTGTCAACCCCACATACTTATTACTTGTCACAATCTCGCACTTGTTTACTAAATGAGAAAAGAACACATCATGTCTTGTTTTTGTTCCTACTTTGAACTAAATAGGGAAAAGCATGTCCAAGAAATAGTTAAAGACACTTGGAAATAAAATCAGTATGGCCATGAGTAAATCCATTTTAAATAAAATCACAAAAACAAACTGATGTTCACACCAAGTTGGAATGAAATCAGCTCAAGCGTGAACGAGAAACCGTTTATGACATACTAATGGTAACCAGTCAGCTAAATGTCATCAAAATTAGGAAAAATAGAGCTATTTATTAAATCTTGGAGGTAAATGACGTGCATCAGTAACCCAGCATGAGTGATGTTCATACCAAGTTTGAATAAAATCGGCTCACGCATGGCTAAGAACAGTTCATACCATGTTCAAATTTTTTTATTTACTTTTCTTTTATGGGATTGACCGCAACATTTCACGAAAATCCTAAAATAACTGAAGCCAACATTCAATCTAATTGGTCTTGCGACTTGTTTGTCAAATCTGTCAAAATATCATTTTGCCCAACTGTGACAATCGCAAAACATCGAACATTTCAGCAATTTTGGTTGGAGACATGTTTATTTAAAACTCATCGATGGCTTAATAGTACATCCAAAGGGAGATATATAAATGATTAGCAAATTCATATGATTTGTTCGACAAATATACAACAATTCTTCAGATTTTTGTTGTTTTATAGTATTAATCAAGGTAACTGAAATTGAATGATATTAGATCGGTACCCAATTAATATAGCTTACAAAGAATAAAATGGATATGGGTCCGTTCAATTACTGGATTAAAATTTGTCAGAAAATTAGTGGTAATAAACCCACTTAAATTCTTTACATTGGTCGAGTTGCTTTACATAATTGTGCCCATTGAAATAAGAGTCACCCACGTGATACAGAATTTCATCTAAATCCTGCAACCTCGCCCGTTCCATTTTTATGTGCATGCGAGCATTTGGTCACCAAAATTGTTCAACAAATTGTGTGGTCCAAATCGACCGTCAATTATTCTGTGAAAGGATTCACTCATCGGTATTTGATCATAACTGAAGGTTATAAGGTTTGAGTTACTAAATGTGGAAGAGTAACAATAACAACAATAACAACAACAGCAGCAATTTATGGTTCCCTTTAACATCAAAGTTCGGTTGAATGTTAATTTAATTTAGTAATTCAAATTTTAGTGAACTGTTAACATCGAGTTATAATGTTGGCGTGGTTATGCAAAATTGAATATTTAAATATGGGTATGGTGTTTTCGTAACTTGGTGTTTATATGTTGAACAATTCAACATCTTGATGACAGCCTATTATTACCATAAATCAAAAAATTCCAGGATAGCACATAGAATGGTGTATATCACATTCAATGTGTCTGTATAACATCATCATCGATGTGTTTAAATTGCGCTGATCTGCAAATAGAAATGCTATGGGATGTGAATCACGTAATTTTACTGACCTGGAAGGAAATTAATGGGAACTCATAATCATTAAACATTGAAATAGCTTTGCACTATGATATATGCTGGTAGAAATGTACAGCTGTTGTTATTTATATCTTACAATCATGTGATGTATACGTGGATTTTTTCCACGAAAAAATATCGTGAAATGTATATGAAGAGACGAAGTAGTTTTGGGTTCTTGCTATCGGGTTGACATTTAATTTAATTCAAAACAAGTTTAGCATTTTCTTGAATCTGGCTCAAACTGTCTGGAAGCAATCTTGGGAAATGTCAGGTACTATGTGTTAGCGTGACACTGATTCGTTAATTGCGGCTGTAGCTACAGTCATACTTAGTCTATCAATAACATTTTTACCCTGTCATAGGTAAATTCGTGGAAACCCGGAAAAACATATTTATTTCTAGGAAACACAAAGGTTAATAATAAGTCAGAGTGTTATAAAATGCCCATGAGCGCCACAACATGCCATAACTGAACCGTCGCGGTAGATTAACTGACGTCACTCACGATGTTTCCACTACGAAGTCAGATGTGCAGAGGCTGGATTGTAATCTTGGTCGTTTCATGGACGAACACTTTAAAATGTGGTAAATATATGCACTATTCTTTCGGGAGGGATAATATTGTTGTTTTGCTTTTCATAATTTAATCTCTGAACACAACAATTATATTATATTATTTCACTTTTCTGTTTCTTATTTAGTGGACAGTTCAAGTGTTGGGAATCCGTATAGTCGATTGATACGGAATCTTCTCGACGGTTATGACAAACTAGCGCTTCCATTTAACCGAACTACTGACAGCATTTCTGTAAAATTCCACGTTTGTTTACGCCACATTGAAGAAGTTGTGAGTATGAACATAAATAACACGTATTACTTTTCAATTGTGTATTACGAATGTGTATATACGTAAGAACATCTCTTGTTAATATTTAAATTATTCCAGTATGATAAATATGACGTTCATCGGAACAAAAAAAAATCAAATATTAAATACTAAATCTGTAACATTTTAGAAAGTTAAATATTCTTTAATTTCACGAAAACAGTATATTTACTAATATAACAGTAGTAGGTAGAAAAATGGAAACGACGCATTACAGTGCAGTGTAATAAGATGAAATATATATTTTTTTTTTTCAGTTGGACACACATCAACAAATTACACTGAGCGCTTACATAAGACAGGTAATATACGATAACTTCACAATAATGGGGTCATAAGTAGTTAATTAATTAATTTTTCCATTCAGTAATTCATTCCTTTGGTATACATGTAAATTCCTTTTATAAATTAGAATCTTTGATTATTATGTTATAAAACATATGGTGTTATGAACTGTTTACTGTTGCTAAAATTGTGTTTGATAAACTGATTGATATTTGGTTATAGTGCCATTCGTGATTGCTATTCATACTCAGATGGAATTGCATTAAGCGTGACCAGATGTGACCAGTTGTATCAACACACCTGACTGCACAGTGCCAATGACTGTTGATTACAAATTCACACCAGCTGTTTTAACAATTTATCAACAAAATGAGATAAATATAATTCACATAAATCGTGCACCCTTATTGTAAGTAATGGCAATCAATTCACATAACCTATTTTTCTGCTGAATATCATTTCACAGACTTGGTATGATACATATTTAAGCTGGAATACAACATTGTATGAAAACATAACTGAAATAAGACTACCAGCAGATGAAATATGGCACCCAGATACAGTGTTATACAACAGGTATACTAAGTATAATATATTTCTGTTCTATTTAACTACGCCAACAGTACAGAATTAGATTAGTCAATCGCATACCACAAACATACGTATATCATTTTTATTTCATCATCATCAGTGCTAACGGCTTCACGGATTCATCAAACGAAATCAGCGTGATTGTATCCCACGATGGCCGCGTGGTGTGGGACTACCCAGCGTTGTTGAAAAGCAACTGTGCATTTGACGTCACATTTGTCCCATTTGACCAACAAACATGCAGAATGTTCTTCGGTTCCTGGTCCTACAGCTCAGACCAAGTGACACTGTCTGGCGATCTGGCCCATCTGGACAACCTTCACACAAATGACGAGTGGAAACTAATTGATGTCACCATGGCCACCGGTATGACAGTGCCCCTGCAGGGTCACGAGTCGGTGGAGGGAGTCGAGATGACAGTTGTGCTACAGCGTTGCAACGAATTCTACCTAATGTTCATGTTGGTGCCATTCATAATGATAGCTGGCATCAGTATGTTAGTGTTCCTGTTGCCTCCTGACTCTGGAGAGAAACTATCTCTGTGTATCACCAATCTTCTGACACTGGTGTTGTATTATGGGCAACTTTCTCGTATGATTCCAATGACAGTTGAAGGCACATTCCCAATTATTGGTAAGTTCAAATAACATACCAACCACAGATCAACTTTTGTATAGGAGCATTTACAAAAACATAAAACAAACGAATGACAACACAATCCAATTATAACAAAACAACTGACAATTTCACTACAATAATACATAGTCAAATCAGTGGGAGAAATATATATGGGCCCATACTATAAAGAGAGTGGTGTAATTCTGAATATAAATTGTTAAATAAATGTTTTGTCCTGTATAATATATGTATTCTAACAACAGAACATTTATTTATTACCTGTTTTCTTTTCCGATACAGGGACCTACTATTTCTCCGTGGTCTGCATAGTATCTGCATCATGCGTATTGACCATATTGGTGTTGAATGTTCACTATCGAAAACATTCCAATAATCCAGCTCCGCGATGGGTTCGTCGACTTTTCTTTGGTTATTGTGGTTTACATCGCATAGCCTGGTACTCTATTGACTCTTCAAACAGCAATAACAATGACAATGAAAGACGCACTACACAACTGTCGGAAATTATGTCAAGTCAATGCTATGTAGTTGATAGTTCTCCCGTCATTTCAGGGATAGAAGATGGTAGTGATAACAAATGCGAAACTAGTTGCAATACTAAGCAAGAATACGCTTCTGTTGAAGACAATGAATGGGAAATTATGGCTCGGGTTCTCGACCAGGTTTTCTTCATAACGTTGTCCTTGTTATTGTTCTTGGTGACATTGGTGTGTGGTCTGAAATTTCATATTCATAGCTATCCTTAATTAAGCTGATCAGCTGATTTAGCTTATTTAGAGGACCGCTCTGACAGTTGGAAAAGAAATTATGACAATGGTACGTCCATTAAACATTGATGAGACGATATGGATGTATATTATGAAGAGCCTTTATGTATATATGACGGGTGACGTCAGTGATGTATTTACCTTATAAGAAAAAATTGTCATCACTTGCTTGCCAGATGTCTCATATTTTGGCAAGCTTGTCAATGATTTTGAGAATCTGTTTTGAATGCTTAGGATATTAACGTAAACAATTTACATTGCGTATTAGTACTGTGAGTTTGTAACAATGACACAATTATCTGTGTAATATGTAGATGTATAATCATGTTTTGTATTGTAATTGTAACCTGTTGATTTTTTAACATTATGTCTGTTTCAATACACACATTGTTGTAACATATTTTATTTATTGTTTAATGTATATTTTGTATCTAAAATTAGGAATACTTCTATACTACAAAGATGAGATTGTAAAATATTGTCAGAACACAATTTAGATAATAATTACACCAATGCACTATAATACCATTTAAAAATCAAGGTACTGTGTCTTGTATTATTATTATTAATCCTCGTATAAAATATATTCATTTACTAACCAGTAAAATGAATAAATTTTGTAACCTTCAGTAAATACTAAAAAAATGAACTTTTGTAACTGTTTAGTTTATTAGGTTATTGTTTTTCCTTAGCAACTGATGATAACATTTGTGGAAGACGGAATGTGGGATAATAAGTACCCGCATATCCTCGGGGGCGGAGCTACGTCATGGACGTTCTACGTTGTTAAGACGCGCACCACTGTACCACGTATTTCTATGGGCTTTATGCGCGCTGCTGTGGAACGCCGGTGGAGCCGGTGAAAACTCGAGAAAACAACACAAACTCAACTTTGAAGTAATCCTAAACAACCAAATTCATATATGTTACACACGTAGGGCTAATCTTGTTACACTGTTCAGGGGACTCTCAACAACCATCGCAAAGTACCGTTTTCTGCGAGTTTTTGGTCTTTGTTTTCACCGCGAGGGTTGCCGGGCGGTAGAAAATGCCCGGATGTCCGCCCCGAGGATAAATAAATTATAAGTGTCGATTTCTGCACTGCTTCTATATCAGTTTCAAAAGAGTTACGTGCTTGTGACGGTGACGTACTGTGTCTGACACAGGAAATAGGAACAACATATTAAACAAATATCAAACAAATATCAATAGTTTTTTATCTAACTATAGCCAACTTTGAACATTGTTAACCTGCTGTACCGTGTTTTCATTGTATCACGCTCTTTTGTGTACATTTTTAAAGAAGGTGAGTTGTATGCTTTGTATTTAAAAGTTTATACATATATTTTTTTACTTGAAAAATTCTGTACAAACTGGCATAAAAACATGGGTTTATGTTGTGAACTGCTGACATGTAAAACATACATGTGTGATACACATTTTCTGTAGACACTGAACATAAAATTACAGTTATATTGAGACACTAAAAAAATATACAAATGTATTTCATCTGATCCCAGATTCTGTTGACGTGTTGAGGTATTTTTCACTGTACCCTAGTTATATTCCTAAGAATTTATCTTACTACAAATAAAAAGTGTAATTATTTAATTCATTAATTAATACTACAAAATTACTGTATGTTTCACTTTTTTTTTACTGAGGCAATATATATAATACACTTATTGTTCACTTTCAAACCCAGTTGTCGGGTTTCTGAAACATGTTTGGCAGGTATTTCTTCTATATTAATTACGGTAAACCCAAACATGTCTAAATGTGCAGAGGACTTGATATTATCAATGCAAAAGTAATTTACATTAAATTAGAACATATTTCATTATATATATATATATATATATATATATATATATATATATATACCATAAATCTATTATGTTTCATTTTTTAGCATATCTCTTATTGATATCGAAGACGATGCTTGAATACTTCGCACTGATACGTGTCTTTGCACTTGAACACATATTTTAAAATGCATCAATATACTAGTATTTGCTTGTTTGTTTTAAAATATTTCTTACATATTAATATATAAGTTAAGAGAACCGGTTAAATGTTGAAAATACATTTCATTCTGAAATTGATATGATAGTGCATTATTTAAAAACAATTGTCAAGCACTGTCTATCTGTTTGGATAAATTGTTATCTTTACAAAACGGTTTGACATGTGACCCTGTTACTGCACCCCCTGGAGTTAGTGACACATAAATAAATAAACAAACAAACAAACAAATATAAATTAATAAATAAATTAATAAATTAATTGTTCTCTATGTACATTTCACAACTGACTGAAAGATAGTTCATTCCAAGAATCCTGTATTTTCATGTTCAATGTCGAACCCTCAGAATACTGATACAGAATACCCTAAGAATACTGATACACATATCTCTTTTATGTCAGCTAGTTAGTTCACAACAATAACCCAAAAGTCCTAGTAACACAAATTATAAAAACAGTGGCCATAGAACGTGACGTAGCCTCGCCTCCATCCTACAAAAATAGCAGTTTTAGACACCTAAAATGCAGTAGCAATGTCGCATTATAGTGTATACAGCATTTATCATATGATAAAATGTATCATTTTTCACATTATTGTAATTTACGATAGGACTCCATGTAAGAATGCATGGCATTATAGCGCATGTTTGACAATCTGTTACATTTAACCCTACAAAAGCTATAATGCAATGTGGAGTAATTATGGGACTTTTAACTTTAATGCATTTTAACATGAAATTCTATGGTAAAATGCAAAATTGAATTGCAAAAAAAAAAATGCATTTCTTCTGGATCTCAGATGCGACATGTATTATTGTCATGCACGCATTATAGCTTTTGTATTGTTAAATAAATTAGATTGTCAAAACTGCGTTCACTTGTTAAAATCCCTGACACTATAGCAATGTTATCAGACAGGTAAATGTATATATAATTTAATTGCCATCAATCGAACAATTTCAGGTAAGTACATGAAATGGTTCGCTGGTTCCCGGCGTCCCTTGCGAATTGCAGGTAGGACGCAGGTAACTAGTAAAAAATACAAAAAAAAAACATTTTTTTATTCGCCCACCTCTCGAAAATAAAAGAAAACCTCTGTTTCAAGGCCACGGGCGTAAGCGCTGACGTCAGGTAACCAAGGGAAATATAAGAAGCAACAAGAAAGTGGTGGACCAATCAGAATGCTGGACCCATTTCTAGTAGCCAGCCTCTTGTGGCTTGGTGCGCCATGACACTTGAGGCCAACTAGAATGGTAGATATCATTTTTTTATGCGGGCTGTATGGCGTCATCGATGTATTTAGATTAGACTCACCTATATTAATTTATAACGTGACAAAATGACGGAAAAATTAATTAGACTCATTATCATTGAAAATCGATCTAGCTACGCACCATGGTACATGCTGGTAGACATGTACAGCTATTGCAAGGTCAGATTGCCCTGATGCTATTTATATCTTACAATCATGAAAGGGGATACTTTTAAAATTTAAAGGGGAAGTCCCAGCAAACAACATGCTCCGAAATGAAAGAGCTTAACAAATGTAGGAGAATAAAATTTAAACTGTTATGTTTATATCACATTATTTCATTTCTATGTAGTTCATCATCTTGATTCGCGGTCAAAAGAAAAAAAATGGATTTGGAATTTTACTCATGAAAAGTGGAATATCAAGAGAATGAAAAGTGATAAAAATGCGAATAACATTTCCCTACATGTGTGGAGCTTTTCCATCTGGAAGTAATATGTCATTGACTTTCCGTCTAACAAAATATCCCAGGTCATAAGAATTGTCGGCTCAAACTTAAGGCAATTTCATGTTTAATATTATATTGATAAATATACTGCAGTAAGCATTTTACTCATGACATTCAACACCTAAAAACTACGTAACATGTTCATTTTCCCAACCTAGATGATTAACAGATTTGTAAGTAATTACAGTTGATTTGTTGTAAATCGAATACATTGTTGCCCGGTTGGCTAGTAATAAATCTGTTTATCTGTGATTACTTCAAGTGTGCATTCTTTTGGTCGATTCACCCGATATATTTCTACAGTGTAAGGGTAGCCTGCCAAAAGCGAGTATGATCCCCCCACATCCCTTCGTATATTCTTCCGTGACAATATCAACAACATTTGCACACTGTTATAGGTAAATTCGTGGAAACCCGAAAATATATCAACTTCTCGGAAACGCCGCTGTTAATAAGAAAGAATAGTATAAAATGACGATGAGCGTCACAACGTATCATAACTGGACCGACGGTAGTAGACTAACTGACGCCACTCACGCACGACACGTTGCCACCACGAATGTACGATGTATGGAGGCTGGTTTCTAACCTTGGTCGTTTTATGGACCAATAATTTAAGATGTGGTAAATATACGAATGATTTGTTTGAGAGGGCGTTTGTTTTAACTTTACACATTTTAAACTCTTGAACGCAAACATTATATTAATTCGCTTTTCTGTTTCTTATTTAGTGGCCAGTTCAAGTGTTGGGAATCCGTATAGTCGATTGATACGGGATCTTCTCGACGGTTATGACAAACTAGCGCCTCCATTTAACCAAACTACTGACAGTGTTCTGGTAACATTCGACATCAATCTATGTCACTTTGAAGAAGTAGTAAGTATGAGCAAAAATATATTACTTATAATACCGTGTGCTGCCAATTATTCGAAACGCCGCGTTCTCATTGGTAGATCGGTACCACGCGCATTTCTCTCATTACGTGTATGACAGTGACTCAACAATATCACAAGTTTCCGAAGAAATCAACAAACTACTGCGAGGCTTTCGTGTTACGGCATGCAGTTCATTTAGAAATTTATCAGCGTGCTTACGTGTTATTGTATTTAGAAAACACTTGCTACATAAATGGAAAGTTGTATTTCAGAAAAACACAAATAACGCCAGTAAATCGACTTTCGAACGCCATTATT